ACCCTCTACTGATGGGGCACGTGACGAGCTCTGGGCTAGTAGGGCACTGAGTGATGACTGGCCCCGTTGAGATCTATGATGATCATGACCTGAAGATGCCCCGCGATACTCTGGACGGGCCGACTGAGTGGGCCTGAAAGAACGACCTCTACCATCTGGGACTGACCCATCGAAGGAGCACCACTGTAACTGCCCGATCCTCGAGGCCTCTTGGCCTCCCTCTTCTCTCGATCCTGACAGCGAACCATATCAATATCGTGTGCGATATCAACCACCTCCTAGAACGTAGCACCCAATACACTTTCTAGTCATAAGAATATAGAGATGGTAATTTAGGCCATCAACAAATCTCCCGATCCTCTCACGGTCTGTTGGAACCATCCAGACGGCATGACGAGCTAACTCAGAATACCTCACCTCATACTGTGATACAGTCATATCTCCCAGCTTCAGCCACTCAAACTGCCTACGCAACTCCTCTCTGCAGGACTGCGGTACATACTTCTGCAAGAAGAGAGTGGAGAACTCCTGCCAAGAAATGGGTGCTACACCGACCGGCCTACGCCTCTCATACGCCAACCACCAAGTGAAGGCAGCCCTAGAAAACTGAAAGGTAGTAAATGTCATACCACTAGACTCGAGAATCCCTGTTGTACGTAGCATTCGCTGACACCTATCTAGAAAACCCTAGGCATCCTCGCCCTCAGCACCACTGAATGATGGAGGCTGGAGTCTACCAAACCCCTCAAGATGACGCTGCTCATCATCCGGCATAACTGGCACAACAAACTCATGAGCTGGTGCAACCGGCTGGGCTGGAGGTGCCCCCGACGTCTGAAGTCCCTGCACTACCTGCTCAGGTGTGCGAGCAACGGAGGTTTGATTGCCTCCCCCGGCCTGTGAAGTAGTTGCTGCTGTAGTGGCTGAAACTGCCTGAGCTAGGCCAGTACAAACTAATAAGATCTGTGCCAAGGCCTCCTAAAGACCCGGAACCATGATGGGCATAGCTGGTGCCTGAATTGGTGCTGCTGGAGCATCCATAGCTGGAGCCTGATCCGGAGCTAGGGTAGTTGGTGGATCAACATGTCCTACCCTCGCTGCTCTGCCACGACCACGATCGCGTCCACGGCCTCTGGTGGCCTTAACGGGTGGCACTGGTGGTCGCCTACCTCGTCCGGTAGCTCTTGTCCTCGCCATCTGTGAGAGAATGGGATAATAGAAGTTTAGTACTCAGACCAACAAGTTCGCATGACAAGGATTTCAAGAATGTGAAGTTTTTTCCTAAAGGTTCTGCAGCCTCTCGAGGATAAATACAAACGTCTCCATATCGATCTGCGAGACTCTACTAAACATGCTCATGACTCGTGAGACCTATGTAACCTAGAATTTGATACCAACTTGTCACGACCCTAACCCCCAACCCGGTCGTGATGGCGCCTCTCGTGAAGACAAGGCCAGCCAATCCAACACAGTACACTTCTTTAAGTAGTTAATTACCATTAAACGGTTTAAAGCATGATTTAATAGCAATAATTTGCGGAAATATAGATAACAACAGAAGAAACTATCCCGACACAACCCAAACCGGGGTGTCACAAGTCATGAGAAACTAAGGATCCTGATACGAGTCTACTAGATATAATATCTGGTACAACTGTTTGAAGAATATAAAAGTAATATGATAAGGGAGTCACGGGGGCTGTGGACGCCAACGACAACCTCGTAGTCTCCGAAAACACTGCCTGGACTGGGAGGATCAGCTCTTAGGAGCGGACTCTGCGATGCCTGAATCAGCTCACACGGTGTAGGGAGTAATGTGAGTAATCCAACTCAGTGAGTAATAATCATAAATAATGGTTGAAAGCAAGAAAACACGTAAAGGCACAAAGCAATTCTATATCAAAGCTGTAAAAATCACGTAAAGCAGTAAATCAGTGAAGAAGTCAAGTGAAATCTCTTTAAATTAGGTAAAACATGTAATTTAGCAGGTAAATAACAAGTAGAAATCTGCCACTTGGGCACAGTATCAATCACTCAGAACAGTGTCATCTCCTCGGGCTCACTCTCATCACTTAGTGCTCATTCTCAGCTCTTGACCCATATATCTCTCACAATAACAGAAATCATAATAACCACTGCGGCGTGTAGCCCGATCCGTACATCACTGCTGCGTGCAGCCCGATCCATATAGATAGTCGACTGCGCTCATTGGGGGTGTGCAGACTCTGGAGGGGCTCCTACAGCCCAAACGCTAAATTGTTGCGGCGTGCAGCCCGACCCGTATAAGTATTGCTGCGGCGTGCAACCCGATCCATCACATATATAATATCCTCACCATTGGGTTCTCAGCCCCTCTGAGTCATTAACCTCACAGCCTCTGGGGCACCATAATAGAAGATAGGGATCTCAACCCACAAATTCCTCTTGTTTAGGAATAGTTTGATAAAACCAGTTTGAATCGTTTAAAACAGATAGAAACATGACTGAGGATATGATTTTTTTAACTAGTGAGGAAAATCAGTCAAAATCCCCGAAGGGTTCAAATAGTTGGCACGAAGCCCAAATATGACAATTAGCCCAAATCATGATGATAACAAATATGTTTCAGTTAAATACGCGGTAAAATCATCAGTCGGGACAGACCAAGTCTCAATCTCTAGTAGTAAAAGACCCTACGCTCATCATCTAGTGCGTGTCTCTCCTCAAGATAGCACTACGATGTGCAACCCTCAAGACATCATTTACGATCATTACTCACCTCGGATCGGCTACAACTCTAGCTCGCGAAGCCTTTGCCCCTCAAACCGGCCTCCACGCGCGTCAAATCTATCCAAAATCAGAACGAATACATCACAATATGCTAAGGGAGCAAAACCCAAGCAAAAACAAATAAAAAAATATCGAAAATCCTGGAATTAGCACAACTCGAGCTTGAACCCAATTCTCGAAACTCAGAAATTTTCACATCATTAGATTCCTTATTACCCTACGAGTTCATACATACCAAAAGTCATCAATTCTGACCTCAAATGGTCCTTCAAATCCCACTTCAAAAGTTCAAAATCCCAAGCCGTAGTTCTTCCATTTTTAGCTTAAGCTCCAAGAATTTCTAGGTTAATTTCACAATAGATTAGATTTCTTGGTTCGAAAATCTTACCTCCAATTAATTCTCCTTGAATCCCTCTTTAATCACCTTCAAAAAGCTCTCAAAATACTCAGGTATGGAGGAAAAATCGCTCAAAATCGCGGATAAAATGACTTATAAAATTTCTGCCCTGGATTTTTTGCATCTATGACCCACCACCACTCCTGCGGTACCGTTTCGGCAGTAATTGCTCCGCATCTGCGAAAATCACTTAGGGGCCCAGATTCTACATCTGCGGTCCACGAGTCACATCTGCGACTCCGCAGGTGCGGTCCTTGGCTATTATTCCCAAACCACTTCTGCAGCTCTTCTTCCACATGTGTGGTACCGCACCTGCAGTCCCCAATCTGCAGGTGCGGAAATACCAGAAATAGCAACTTCTGAGATCTCTTAAGTCCAAAATCTTCCCGTTAACCATTCAAATTCACCCCGAGGCCCCCAGGACCTCAACCAAAAGCACCAACATGACCCAATATCTTATTCAAACTTGTTCTAATCATCCAAATACCTCAAACAACATCAAATTACCCAAAACTCATCGAATTCAAGCATAATTTTTTAGAAATCTTCCGAAATATATTTTCGATCAAAACTCAACCAAACCACGTCCGAATGACCTGAAATTTTACATACACATCCCAAATGACATAAAAAAGCTACATCATCTCTCGGAATTTCATTTCGACCCTCGGATCAAAATCTCGCCAACCAACCGGAAATTGCCAAAATACTAACTTCGCCAATTCAAGCCTAATTCTACTCCAGACCTCCAAAACCAATTCTGCTCGCACTCCTATGTCATAAATCACCTCCCAAAGCTAACCGAACCATCGAAAATCACATTCTAGCCCTCTAACACATAAGTCAACATCCAGTTGACTTTTCCAACTTAAACCTTCTTAAAGGGACTAAGTGTCTCATTTCTTACCAAATCCACACCGAATGCAAACAACTCAATTTGATAACATAAAATATGGATAACGAAGCATAATGAAGTGTAAATGGGGAAAACAGAGTGGAAACTCATGAGACGACTTGTCGGGTCATCACACAATGCACCAAAGGTTTATTTACCTGATGGAACTTCACTTGATGTTGAATGTACTGGAGAGAGTAGAATTGGTGAAAACAATATTGTTAAGAATGTTCTATATGTTCCAAATTTTAAATATAACCTCTTATCTGTGTCCAAGCTTACAAGGGACTTAAGATGTTTTATATCCTTTTATCCTGACTTCTGGATAATGCAGGACCTTCACAGTGGGAAGGTGAAGGGGATTGGTAAGGAATTAGAAGGTTTGTACAACTTGCAGCATCAGAAACTTGAAGCCAAGGCTGCAAATGTACATCTTCAGAAATCTACTATGCAGGAGGAGGACTTAAAAGAGTGGCATGGATGACTTGGACATGCTCCAGATAGAGTAGTGAAACAAATTCCAAACATGAAGTTCAAGGCTAATAATGATGAAATAAAGGAATGCACAATCTGTCCTTTGGCTAGACAAGGCAGATTGCCCTTCCCCTAAGAGTACAAGTAGATCAGATAAGCCATTTCAATTGATTCATATGGATGTTTGGGGTCCATATAGAGTACAAACTCATAGTGGACATAGATTCTTCCTTACTATAGTAGATGATTGCAGTAGAATGACATGGATTTACTTACTACGGCTCAAGAGTGATGTGGTTGTATGTTTGAGATAATTTTTAGCCTTAATAAAGACTCAATTTGCTGTGACTGTGAACGTAGTAAAAAGTGACAATGGATCTGATTTTTTCAATTCTAAATGCCAAAAATTTGTGTCAATCTTATGGAATGATTCACCAGAGTTCATGTGTTCACACCCACAACAAAATGGGGTGGTGGAGAGGAAACAAAGGCATATACTATAAGTGTCCAGGGCCATTAGATTGCAAGGTTATTTGCCTCTCAAATTTTGGGGTAAATGTGTACAGGCAGCCATTTATGTCATATAGGTTGCCTCTATCAGTATTGTCAGTAAAATCATATTTTGAGATGTTGTATGGAAGAGTGCCATCTTTACAGCACCTGCTAACCATAGGATGGCTATGCTTTGCTAAGGTTGTAGGAGAAAAGGATAAGTTTGCAGCCAGATCTATTGGAGCTGTGTTGATGGGATATTCATTGTCCTAGAAGGGATACAAACTGTATAATATTTTAACTAACTCTTTCTTTGTAAGCAGGGATGTCAAATTTTGGAGAATATCTTTCCATTTCAACTACTTAAGGAAGGAAAGTTGCAGCTTTTCCCTAATGGTGTACTGCAATATCTAGCCACTATTGATGTTATTCCTCTACAGATAAACATACAAAATGATTGTGCATCCCCTTCAGCGATGCCACCTGCTGTAGACAACCACACTGCTGATACACAACCTTTATCACCACTTCCTTTATCCTCTGAAGACACTCCAGCTCAGCAGTCACATATTCCAGACCAGGATACATTTGTTCCTGTGGGTCCCCAATTAAGAAAGTCAGACAGGACTACTAAGGAGCCTGTGTGGCTACAAGATTATGTCTGCAATGGTTCCTTGACAAGGCTAGAAGGGTAGCAGCTTTGCAAATACCCAATGTATGACTATTTGACCCATGCAGGTTTCTCAATCAAATATCAGTCCTATTTGTCCAAAATCACCAGCATTAGAGAACCTTTGAATTATGAGGAGGCTACATCAGACCCCAAATGGCTTGATGCTATGCAGCAGGAGTTGACTGCACTTAAGGACAACAGGACATGGACACTGGTAGATTTTCCAGCAGGGAAGAATCCTATTGGATGCAAGTGGGTGTTCAAGATAAAGTATAAGGCCAATGGTGAGATCGAAAGATACAAGGCACGACTAGTAGCTAAAAGTTACAATCAAAAGGCCTAGACTATCAGGAAACTTTCTCTTTCTCCCTTGTAGTCAAGATGGTGGCAGTCAGGGTAGTTATAGCTTTAGTTGCAGCCAACAACTTGAATTTGCATCAAATAGACTTTTATAATGCATTTCTCTAAGGGAACCTTACTGAAGAAGTTTATATGTGTCCACCCTAGGGATTTCTCAGCCAGGGGGAGAAGGTATGTAGGGTGCACAAATCCCTATATGGATTAAAACAGGCTTCAAGACAATGAAACCTCAAATTAACTGAGGCATTGCTGAACTCTGGTTTTGTACAAAGTCACTTTGAATATTCCTTGTGCACAAAGAAGCAAGGAACAAGATTAGTCATAATCCTGGTGTATGTAGACGATCTCCTTATAACTTGGAATGATCAAGCACTAATTTTTTAGGCAAAGACCATGCTGCAGAGTAATTTCAGGATCAAGGACCTAGGAGAGTTGAAGTTCTTCCTTGGGATTGAGCTAGCAAGGTCCAAGGAAGGAATACTGATGAACCAAAGAAAGTTTGCAATACAGCTAATCACTGACCTTGGATTAGCAGGCTCAAAACCTGTGACTACACCAATGGAATGCATCCAAAGGTTCACTACTGTGGAACTTGATCAACACTTGAACTTGAAAGAAAATGAGAAGCTGGTAGACTCAGGGCCATATCAGAGATTGGTGGGAAAATTGTTGTACCTTACTATGACTAGGCCAGATATATGCTATGCAATCCATGTGTTAAGCCAGTTCATGCATTGTCCAAAGAAATCTCACATGGAGGCTGCTATAAGGGTTGTGAGATATATTAAAGGAGCATCAGGCTTGGGGTTGCTGATGAGTTCCAAACAGTCCCCTAAATTGACAGCATTTTGTGATGCTGATTGGGCATCATGCCCTGTCTCCAGGAGATCTGTAACAGGATATGTGATGAAATTGGGAAATTCTTTAGTGTCATGGAAATCCAAGAAACAATGCACAATCTCAAGAAGCTCTATAGAGGCAGAGTACAAGAGCATGGCAGCAAGAGTTGTAGAAATATCATGGTTGACAAGACTTTGCAAAGAGCTGGGTGCTGAAGTTGAGCTGCCAGTGGAGTTGCACTGTGACAGCAAAGCAGCAATTCAAATTGCTGCAAACCCCATATTTCACGAGCGTACAAAGCACATAGACATAGACCTACATTTCATTAGAGAGAGGATTCAACAAGGGATTGTCAAGACCAAGTATGTGATGTCTAAAGACCAAGAAGAAGATTTGTTCCCAAAGGCACTTGGAAGAACATAACATTAGTACCTGATGAGCAAGCTAGTAGTGGTCAACTTATTTGCACCACCTAGCCTGAGGGGGAGTATTGAGGAGAAGCGTGATACATGACAGTCACGTGAGTTAGTGTAGTTAGCTGAAGGTTAGTTATAACTAATTATGTGGTTAGTGGTTAGATAATTAGTGGAGAATGATTAGTCCAGCTATCATACACATTGGATATAAGTAGAACATATTTCCTTGTATTCAGTTTTTATAGGATGAAAATACAATCATTTTCAGCTCACATGCTCTCCAATGTGTTCTTCATTCTAGAACCTTCTTGTTCATCTTCTTCTTAGCTCCAGTTGATCTAATCTACGAGCTTCATCAGACTTACGTCTCTTTTGTAGTTTTCGTGCCAAAATCACCAGCGACGGAATAATTGGAGGTCGGGTTTACATGGGTTAGTAGCATGAATAGTTAGATAGAGTGTATCGAAAAGGGTTTAGGTATTTGAAGAACCAAATTTTGACAAACTAAATGTTTAATTCGGTAAAAGAGAGAGGTTATATTAGAATGTTGTTTTTTATTTAATTGTTATTTCGATTAGCGCCTTACTGTCTAGTCTCTGCCGCTTATTTTACACTATAAGGACCAGATGTGTACAATTTTACAGACCAGATTTAGTCTCATCGCCAATATAGCGAGAATTAGGGGCCAGAAAATTATCTTGACAATATTTATATACATTCAGGGACCAGATTTTCCACTCGTCCTTAATTTTTGGTCCCTAATAATACTTTTTCTTGCAGTGCATCTTGTCTGGTTTTTGAGCTACATTCCAACCTTTGAATATTCCTCTCTTTTGGAAGCTTTAGGAGTGAAGAATATTGCACTTTGTAAGCTTTATGACTTTTATTATTCTCATCTTTTTGTATTTTAGCATGAGTAGCTAGCTTTAAATACTAAGGTTGTGAATCCTAAATAGGTGTTATGTTAATGGGTGTTTAACACTGAATATATATATATAATGGTTGGTTGATATATATTTATTTCTCATTCTTCATTTATTGTTGGTGGTTGCAAACATTAACAAGAGCCATTAGACTCTTTATTTACTTGGAAAAGTGAGTTAGAGTTTGGTAGAAGTAAATATCAAAGACTTAAGGCTTTAAATATTGTTTGATAGAATTGCTTAAGAATAAATGGGTTTTATTTGGCATAAATTGATTGCTCTTAATTGCAACTCTTTTATACTTGGAAAAATCATAAAGAGGAAATAGTACCCAACTATTGAATATTATTGGGTAGTCATTTAGAAATCATTTGCATATCTAAAGAACCTTAAAATTAGAAATATATCATATTAACAACGATAGTATTACATTTCATTGAAGGGTACACAACCTTGGTTTCCTTAATCAAATTATTTACATTCTCAATGTTACAATTAGTTATCTCTTCAAATCTGTAACGACCTGACTTGTCATTTTAAGAATTAGCGCCCCGTTTAGAGGCTTAAGACGTCAAGAAGCTTCATAATGTGTATTATAACTTGTGTGTGTGGTCGAATTTGGTTTTCGTAAGATTCAGAGTTAAATTTAAAGAAAAACAAAATCTTATTTTTGAAGCTCAAATGGAAAGAGTTGATTGGAGAGTTGACTTTTGAGCAAACGACCCCAAAATGGAATTTTAATGATGTCAATAGCTTCGTATGGTGATTTCGGAGTTAGACGTGTGTCCGAATTTGGATTCGGAAGTCCATAAGACCATTCGAGGCATTTTGGCGAAGTAAGAAAGTTGACGTGTTCTAATTATATTATTTTATATGTGGAAGAGGTCTATTACCATGATGGATACCAATTCGATATGATATCAAGTGTACGAGGCATACTATAAGATGTATGGGGTCTAAGGAAAGTCCTAAGTCTAAGCCAAGTTGGAAAATTTCATAATAGACTAATGTTGCAAATAAGTATGCACAAGACCTAACTTTGGACGATCATATCTACATATTTATAAAGAGTTATATGATGAACAACCTATCAAATGAATGATATTTGAGTCTACTTTCTAACACTTCAATCCGTTTATCATTTGGACACGCCTACAAGAAGTTATGGCCAAATTACCAAACACTGGCAGAAGGTGTTCTACCACGTATGTAGGAAATTCCAGAATGTTCCTAAATGTCATTTCTAAACACTTTTTACACAACTGCCCCGCATCCTACGATGCCCCATGCGCTGCAGCTGTAAAGTATCAGTTTTACAACCCGAGCCCCATTTCATTTTACTCGTTTAGGGCTCATATATTTGGGTATTTTCTGGTGTTCTAAAGAGAGAGGAGAGCGATTCTAGAGAGAGGAAAGGAAGGGATAAGGATTTGCACAACTCTACCTTAAATCAAACCTTGAAATCGCATCAAAGGGGTTGCTAGGACTTCGAGAGGTAAGAATTTCTTTCCCCAATTCTTCAATTTCAAAATCTATCTAGAAATGGGTAATTAGTAAGATGATTCTTGGATGTGAGAGTATTAGTTATTCATGCTTGTAACAATAAGGTTGTGGGAAGATTATTGAGTTCAAATAGGTAAATATTGGGTTGAAAATGGTACAAATGTTCAAAACTTTAATTGAAGATTTGAAAGACAATCTGATGTCAGAATTCGATAATTTTTGTATGGTTGAACTTGTATCGGAAAGGGTATTCAAATTTTGTGAGTTTTTCTTGGATTCGGAACATGGGTCCCGTTGTTGAATTATAAAATAAATTTCGAATTTTAAACCGGAATATTAATAATTTCATATGGAATTAATTTGTACGATTTATATTGAGTATATTGAATTATTATGACTATATTTGAAGCTTCGGACGATTTCGTGAGGCAAAGGCTTGTTGGAATTTTGAATTGGTTGCAAAGCGAGGTAAGTGTTTGGTCTAACCTTAGCTTGAGTGATTAGGGGTTGTGTCCTCTTTGTTATGTGTTGTTTGTAGAGTACGACGTATAGGCATGATGACGAGTATTTATACGTTGGTGTCAAGCATGCCCGTAAGTCTTATATTTTGATTAATGTGACTCCGTTTCGTATTGTATATGCTCAATATGATAATTTCTATTGAGGAATATGATTTGTGGAAGTATTATTGTTAATTGAACATGGTAGAGCGTTGGCTCAAGTTGAGAATTTAATTGTTGAACATGGTAGAGCATTGGCTCAAGTTGAGAATTGAATAGTTGAACATCGTAGAACATTGACTCAAGTTGTGAATTGAGTTGTGAAGTAAACGTGAAAGAGGAAAGGAGAGAGAGAATCATGATATTGTCTCCCTTGCCAGGATGTTATTGTTTTGATGTTGTTTCCCTTGCCGGGATTTGATTATTATACTATTATTCCCTTGCCGAGATTTTATTGTGATTTCATTAATTTCCTTGCCCTTATTTCTTGTGATTGTTGTTTGGGTGAGGAAAGGTGTTAAAGCACAAAGGGCGATGTCGTGTATGATTTTGTGAGGAAGAGTGTAAAGCACAAAGGGTGATGTCATGCTGCACGATGTACAATTTCGTGCCGATTACATTGATTTTACTGTGAGGATGAGAGTAAAAGCACGAAGGGTGATGCCGTGCAATTTATATTGATTCTTATAGTGAGGACGAGAGTAAAAGTACGAAGGGTGATGTCGTGCACTTGTCCTTGATATTTTCCTGATTCTAATTGAGTTATGTTGTCCTTTATGTTTATTTACTGATTTTCTGTTGCTACTTGATTTTATTTCGATGTTATAGATTCCCTTACCCTATTTGCCTTGTATTTGTTGCTTGGGTTAGGAAGCGTGTAAAGCACGAAAGGTGATGTCGTGTATTGTTTTGGTGAGAGAGTGTTAAAGCACTAAGGGTGATGCCAAGTATTGTTTTGGTGAGAGAGTGTTAAAGCATGAAGGGTGATGTCGTGCACCTTATGTTTGTTGTGTTTACTTGTTATTAACAATTTAAGTGTATTAATTGTTTAGATCCATTTACTGTTGTGATCCTTTGTGTTGGAATCCATAGTGTTTACAATACCTCGACTTATTTTTTTTATATGTTCAATACTTCAAATTTCAGCAATTATTACATTTTTAACTCAATTGATTTCACAACTAAATTTTCCTTAAACCGTTTGAGATTGTACTTTACTTAAAAAGAAATTTCTACTATGTTTTGATTTATTGATTTCTCGTATTAAAGGTAATGATTCATTTGATATTGTACTTTAATTGAAAAAGGGTATTTTCTATTTCTAAAAATAACTTCATCTTTTCTTGTTGGTTTCCTAATTGGGTTGGAAGTTGTACTCTACTTTATGTTAAGTGAATGAGGTTCCTTGAACATTCTTAATTGTATTGGGTTATGGAACCTATGAACTGAGTATCATGAGGATATTGTTATGCAATGTGAGAAAGAAATATGTGGGCACAAGGTGTCGGGGAAAATATTATGGTTTTATTTAATGGCACGTGAGTTGTCCGTGCGGTTGTGATATAAATATGGGCACGAGGTGCCGTAAAAATATGAAAGTGGGTTGAGACCTATATTATTTATGATTATGAAATGCGGCGTCATAAGGTGACCTTTACTCGAAAGAATTATATTCGAAAGATGCTTATTTGAAAGATATTTATTTGAAGGAAATATATTCAAAATATATTTATTGAAAAGCATATTATCTTAGAGATTATTATTTGAAGGATTTGTAGGCGAACGATTGATAATACACTACTTTGCCGAGGTTAGGCTAGGCACTTACCAGCACATGGGGTCAGTTGTGCTGCTAATACACTTTGCACTCTTTTGTGCAGATCCCAGTGTTGTAGACTTCGGACCGTAGTGAGATTGCTGTTTCTTGTTCATCAGGCGACCCGAGGTAGTCCTGCAGGCATCCGCAGGCCTTGGCATCTCCTTCCATATACTATTCCTGTTTCTTTCATGTATTTCCAGAGACTGTGTTGTATTTATTCTTTTAGACCTTTATTTGTAGTACTGTTAGACAGTCTGTGAAG